TATATAAAATTGATTTTTTTTACAGAGAGGAAGGGAGAGGGATAGAGAGAGTTAGAAACATCTATGAGAGAGAAACATTGATCAGCTGCCTCCTGCACACCCGCTACTGGGGATGTGCCCGCAACCAAGGTACATGCCCTTGACCAGAATTGAACCTGGGACCCTTCAGTCCACAGGCTGACTCTCTATCCACTGAGCCAAACCAGCTAGGGCTACTCTTCAGCTTTTAACTACTATACCCAATTGCCTAGTTGGTATCCTTACTGGGATGACCAAAGAGCACTTCAAACTCAAAATGTTTAAAAAAGAGTTTATGATATATCTATTCTAATACAAAAGCAAGAAACACAGAAGTTATCTATAAACATTATTTTCCCTTATTCACATATATAGTCTCTCTTGACTTTATTTGCTTCTCTCAGTCTTAACAACTGTCTTCTTAATATAAGCTGCTCTCATTTCTTCCCTATGTCAGTCCCTTTGCTCTCCTTCATAGTTACTTTGGCCTTTTCGTTTCTCAGACATAAAATGCTATCTCCTATCAGAGTGCATTTTGGCATCCTATTTCCTCTGCCTGGATTGCTCTCTCCCAAACTCCCCCTCTTTTCCAAGTCCTTTTGTACCTTTCAGTTCAATCAATACTTAGGCCTTTCCTGGCTAGGTTATTACCCCCTATTATATACTGTCATAGCTCCATTAAGTTTTTTGTTGTAGCATTTATCATTGTTGTACTTTTCATGACATTTAAAAGTAATCACTAGGTAGTAAGCACTATAAGAGTATGGATCCTGTGTGTTTCTGGTCACCATTGTGGTCCCTGCCTGGTTTCAGTAGGCATTCATTAAGTATTTGTGAATGCACTAATCAGTTCTCTCCCTGCTCATAGCTGAGGTGAAACGTGTTGGAGACACACTTTTGGGAATGGCTACACAGTGTGTGCAAGTGAAGAACGTGGTGAAGACCTCACCTCAAACTCTGTCCAACCTCTGCCTGAAGATCAATGTCAAACTTGGTGGCATAAACAACATCCTAGTCCCACACCAGCGGTATGAACTCTGTTGCCCATCTGCCCTTGTCATGCAAGGTACCATTCTGGAAATTGATGAAAAGATAGGGTCCTGGCCAGGCAGAGTGAGTCAGGCATAAGGAAGAAAGGACCAAAGTGGGTGCTAGGTGGTGCCAGGAAGAGATGATCTATCTCCTCATCATTTGTTTTCTCTTCCTTGTTCAGCTCTGCAGTCTTTCAACAGCCAGTGATATTCCTGGGAGCAGATGTTACACACCCCCCAGCAGGGGATGGGAAAAAACCGTCTATCACAGCAGTGAGTGACACTCCAGCTTCCTCAAGGTTTTCCTCTTAGCTTTGAGTTTCCAAGGCTACATATGATTTCCTTTCCTTAGCTTGGGCGCTAGACCTTCATAAAATTGTTTTCCTTCCAGCTGATCATCCCCATTAACCATTTCCTTGGTATCTTCATAAAATTGATTGTATGATGTGTGTGTGTTTTTCAGTGAGAGTAATGAGAATGTAGGTTGTGGCCAGAGACTTGGCCCAGTGTCTATCGATATTGCCCTATGTTCAAGTTCTTTTTTCTCTCTCTTTCCATGCCTACTTTTGGGATATGGTGGTGACCATATCTCTTCTCAGAAATCCCTTTTAAGGGATTTACTTAGTTGCTGAGACTGTCATTTCCTCTTCCCATCCCTACCCCTGATCCACTTAAGTAGGTTAGTTAACTCTAATTAGTTAACTCTAATCCCTCTCTTGACTTCTGCTCCCTGTCCCCTAGGGGTTTCTGAATTGCTAGAGAGATCAGCTCTTTTTCCCCCACTTCTCTTTCCTCAACCCTTATGTTTCTCTAGGCAGACTAGGCTTATCTCAGTAAATGCAGGAAAACCCTATACTGTGCTTTTCCCTGTTTTCCTTGTGGCCATCTAGCCTAGGCTCTGGCCACTGTCCCCTTTGAAAATTATGTTACTCTCACCATTTTTACCATTGTTCTGGGGTAGATTAGCACTTGAATAAAAAAAGGATAAACTTGTGGCTAGATGAGGTTATTCTTTAAGCTAGTAATGCCAAACCTTCACATTCCCCTCTTCAAGGGGTAGAGAAATCAAACTTATCAAGCACCTTCTGTGGGCTAGGCCCTGTCCAAGGTGCTCTATATGTACTATACCAGCACTGCAAACAGGTGGTGTTCTATACTTATCTCCATTTGAGAGGAGGAAAGAAAAGATCAGATGGATTAAATAACTTCTGCATATGTGGTAGAACAGAGATTGAAACCAGGACTCATTGAATCCAAAACCCTACTTGTTTGATAGCATGATTGTTTTGCTGAGAAGCCTTTGCCCAAACCCACAGCCTGACAGTGTTGGTGGGTGGAGGTTCTAGGGGCTTATCCTGCCTCTTTGATTAACAGGTGGTAGGCAGTATGGATGCCCACCCTAGCCGTTATTGTGCCACTGTTCGGGTGCAGCGACCTCGGCAGGAGATCATTGAAGACTTATCGTACATGGTGCGTGAGCTGCTGATCCAGTTCTACAAGTCCACCCGCTTCAAGCCTACTCGTATCATCTTCTACCGAGATGGGGTTCCTGAAGGCCAGCTCCCTCAGGTAGGGCCCACAGTAGTTAGAAAAACTTCATATTGAGGCCAGAGGGCCCAATGGTAGCAGAGAGTACTGCTAGCTTTTCTAAGCTCTTGGTACTTGGAAGGTTGCTAAATGGAAAAGCTTCAGAGCAGACATCACAACTGAGAAGTGGCAAGTACAAGCATCTGTAGACCTGTCTTCTTGTAACAGAAGACCCTCAGTGCCTATTAGTAGTTGGTTCATGTTGAAGACTGATGCTTTAGACCAGTGGTTCTCAAACATGAGTCAAGATCATTGGGAGGACTTGTTGAAACATTTAACAGGGCTTACCCTTAAAATTTCTGACATAGAGCCCTAACTGGTTTGAAGGGTCTCGGGTTCGATTCCCACAAGGGCATGTACCTTAGTTCCTTAGTTGCAGGCTCGATCCCTGGTCCTGGCCGGGGCACATACGGGAGGCAACCAATCGATGTTTCTCTCTGTCTCTCCTCCTTCCTTTCACTCTCTCTTAAAAAAAAAAAAAATCAATGGGAATAATATCCTCAGGTGAGGATTAACAAAAAAAAAAAAAAAGAAGAATTTCCAATTGAGTCTAGGATTGGGCCCTAGAATTTGAAATACTATTAAGTCTGTAGATGGTGCTGCTTGTCTGGAGGCCACTGCTATTGACCTTTCTTCATAATGTTCCTCTTATTCTTTCTGCCTGCCAAGCTTTCATATTCTGTTGTTTAAACTTGTATACTGAACTAGTCTCCTTGACTACAATTTAATAGTAATATATAACTGCCATTTATTGGGTACCTTCTATGTACCCTGAACTGTGCCAACCACTTCATATGTGTTCTATTTAATGCTGTGATTACAGTAGTCCTATGAAATAATAATTATTCCATTTGACAGATGAGAAAACTGGGGCTTGGAAATGTTAAATGATTTCTTCACTGTCACCCAAGCTACTAAGTGGTGGAACTGGGATTTAGACAAATTGGTCTGATTCCAAAGTCCATGCTATTAACCATTGTGCTCAATTTCTTCCAAGGCATCCATTGTTTCCTAAAATACCAGATATATTTATCATATCACTTCTCTGTTCAGAAATGTCTAGTTCATATAGCCTTGGGTTAAAACTCAAACTTCTTAGCAAAGCAATCAGCAGTTATTAAGCTCCTATTGGGTTTTCTATGCATTTACTTAATTAACTGTTTTAGTCATCACAACAGCTTTGTAAGGCTGGTCTTATTAGTAATTTTAGTAGGTTTGGAGAAAATGAGACTAAGGGGGATTAAGTAACTTGCTTAAGGAAATACAACTAGATAAAACTTGGTTTTAAATCTAATTCTAATTGATTATAAATTCTACACACTTCTACCATACAGTTTTGACTCCCTATACCTGTTATCCAAGGCCATAAGGTAACTATTACCTATGGTTATTTACCTGTGGCTGCTTCTTTAGATAGTTCATTATTTTATAATCCTGCTTCTTTGTAGGACAAAATTCATCCCCTCCCTCTGCACCCGTCTCTGAACTCTGTGTCTGCTCTTCTCTGATGGTACCAACCTTGTCTGCTTGTGGAGGTCACAGGGGTACTCCCATTATTCTCCTGATCCTGAAATTGATCTTACTTTGGGCATTATAATTTTAGTGATTTCTCTCTGAACTTTGGTTCTGTGTCTTGATTTTAGGTCTCTTTTTACATAGGAACCAGGTAAGTGCTCTCTACTGATGCCAAGCTTCCTAGCCAAGGTTTCATGGGAACAAATTCGTGAATTGCATATAAGGCTGATTTTGGTAGAAAGGACCCATCAGCTCTAATGGTTGGGTATCAGCTTATAAAGGGAGACTGAGCAAAAAGCCATATTATAAGTGTCAACCCTTAGTTCACAAAGATGTGTGAACTGAAGAGGAGCTGGATGTTCTTTGTCTATCTCCACACCCTGTGCCTAGATCCTCCACTATGAGCTGCTGGCCATTCGTGATGCCTGCATCAAACTGGAAAAGGACTACCAGCCTGGGATCACTTATATTGTGGTGCAGAAACGCCATCACACCCGCCTTTTTTGTGCTGACAAGAATGAGCGAGTGAGTGAGGGATTGAGGAAGCCAACCATACCCTCATCCATCCCGTCTCCCTTCTCTTAATATGAAAGAAGCCCTTGAGATAAAATCTGGGGATTTAACCCTTGGCCTGTTCATCCTCTTTGGCCCCTTTCCTCCCTCGAGCTCTTGTGGTCCTTCCTCTACCACCTCCTTCCCTTTGTTTCCCCTTTTCCCCCTCCTTCCTTATACTTCCTCTCCCTCCTCCTAGCTCCCTGGCCTATAGACCCCATATGTAGACCAGCTCCCAGAGAAGGGAAAGGGAACTACCATTTATTGAACTTCTCCTATGTGCCAGACACTGTACAAGGCGTCTTCCTCACAGCAGCCCTGTGAGGTAGGTACTATTATTATCTCCAGTTTAACCTTAGAAAGGTTAAATGACTTGCTAAGATCACACCGTAATAAATGATGAAACTAGTTCTTAAACACATTTATGTGTGACTTTAGAACCCATTATTTCAAGACCCAATATCCTCTGGGAACCACAACTTCTGCTTCACTCTTGGGATTCTGGTGGAGTCAGAGTAGAATTGAGTTGGGGCCCTAGTTATGGCTAGGCAGGTCTTGGGATCTTGGTTGTCTTTGTCTCTATGCAGATTGGGAAGAGTGGTAACATCCCAGCTGGGACCACTGTGGATACCAACATCACGCACCCATTTGAGTTTGACTTCTATCTGTGCAGCCACGCAGGCATCCAGGTAGCTGGGCTATGTCTTGGGGTTTCCAATGAGTCGAAAATTAGTTGATTATTACCACTGCCTCTAGAATATATGTCATCACTGAGTGACATTCAAATCATGATTGTTTTCTTAATAAGCCCTCAGTGTACTTGACCAGAAATACACTTTGAATATCTTGGCAAATTATAGGTGACTTTATGTTTGCCTATTCATGGGTGGGTCTTCCAGCCTAGCCATAATCTTAACAGTGATCCTATTCCTTATCAGTAGCCATCCCCTTTGCCCAATCTGGCACCCCTTACCTTCCTATCTTCCCAGGGCACCAGTCGACCATCCCATTACTATGTCCTTTGGGATGACAACCGTTTCACAGCAGATGAGCTCCAGATCTTGACATACCAGCTATGCCACACTTATGTACGATGCACACGCTCTGTCTCTATCCCAGCACCTGCCTACTATGCCCGCCTGGTGGCTTTCCGGGCACGATATCACCTAGTGGACAAGGAGCATGACAGGTAAGGCCTGGGATCAGGCTGGCTTCCTGTTTACCTCATCCTTTGTGTACCAGACCTTCCCAACTTTCCTTGGGTAGAAGGAAATGGGTTTTGTTCAATTTGGTGTCTCTGTGTTCATCTGCCAAATTTGGGTTGGATTTTCTTTTTTTCTTAAGCTGGTATGGGAATTGGCATTACCAGGAAGAACTTCTTTCATTTTTTTCTTTTCAGTGGAGAGGGGAGCCACATATCAGGGCAGAGCAATGGGCGGGACCCCCAGGCCCTGGCCAAAGCCGTGCAGGTTCACCAGGATACTCTGCGCACCATGTACTTCGCTTGAAGGCAGAACGCTGTTACCTCACTGGATAGAAGAAAGTTTTCCAAGCCCCAAGAGCTATGCCACCCAAATCCAGAGGAATCAGGGAGGAGGGAGGTGGGGTAGGGAGGAGTGCAGAAGGCCTTGTTTCCTTCTACAGATGGGACAAAAGGGTGGGGAACAGGGCCAGTAAGCCAGACCACCAGCCAGAAATTTCTGATATTCACCTCATACCCTTCACCCCATCTTGTCACATCTGACCCTGACCCCACTGGACCAAGACGGGCAGCACCAGTGCCCACCATACACACAGGTGTCTCACGTGACTCAGTGCTAAAGACTCATGCTGACAGCTTGGTAAGGTCGGCTCGGCTCTACATTCCTGTGGACAAAAGCTGGTAGGTTTGGGTTTGATACTTTAGATGGGAAAGTGAGGGGCTTGAAAAAGTGGGTGGGAGGAGGGAAGGATTTTTTAGGAGCCTTAATCAGAAAAGGTCTAGATTTGTTTAAGAAGAAAAACGAAACCAGACCCAGATCAATATTTTAGGATACAAGATGTTTTAATGGGTTAAGAATCCAGTTTGTAGGAAGATTTTTTAATGCTAATGATTTTGGTTGCTCCTCCCCCTGCTGCCACCCCCCTTTCCCTATTCCTTTCTTTCCAATTTTCCTACCCTACCTTACACCTCCCTGACAGACATCCAGCCCCGAATAAGACTTAAGGCACTATGGCACTTAGCTCTGAAGTGACACAACCCTGTCTTCCTTCCGCCTGCTGGTGGGTAACCAGTGCCTTCCCTGTAACGGTAATGCTGCAGAACTGCAACCTTTTGTACCTTTCTTTGGGGGGATGGGGTAGGGGTGGGACAGGAGGTAAATGGGGAAGAAATACTCCTAACCCAACAAGCCTCCAGCCAGAGCGCCAACTATTTGCATTTAAAGCAATTGACTTCCATATTCATTGAGCTTTTAAAAATATTATAACCTCAAGATGGTTAAAATCCATTGACATTTGCACTTTCAGACCTGACAAGTCTATGGAGCTGCTGAGATGACTGGCTATGCCTCCTTTCTTCCCTGTCCTACCCTGACCCTCCCACCTGCCTGGGTCTGGAGTTACTTACATAGTTTTTCTCACTCTTGGCTTCTTTTTCCCAAATGGTCAAGTCTCTTATGTTTCAATATTTTTAAATTGGGGTGTCTTATAACAAACGATCCTTAGGTCTAAAATAAGAAAAAAGAGCAAAAACTAAATGCTATTTTTATACCATAACTTGAGTTTATTGCCAAAATCTTGATATCCTTCCAATGCCCAATGAGTTTACATCCCAGAAACATTGAGCCATTAAAAAGAACAATGTACCTGACTTGTTCTTTGGCCTGGCTAAGTAAGGGTGGTTGTCTCCCCAATGTGGGGCTCAGGCTTCATCTTTCCTCTGTGCAGAAAATACCTTTTTCTTGCTACAGGCTCCCTCCTCTGCACTGCCCTCTGCCCTGCACTCTTTTCTGCAAGTGCATCTTCCTCTCCCTCTGGATTGTCCTCTGACACTTTGGCTTATCCCAGATTCCAGTGTGTCCTGTGAATAGTCTGGGGGATTTTGCTGCTCCCTTTTGCTTCTGTTTACACAAATGAAATTTTCCTGGTTTCCCACTAGGGCATGTGAGTGGGTGGCATGGGCTTTTTTTTTTTTTTTTTTTTTTTCCGTGGGCCTCGTCCACACAGCGACGTGGAGATGACAACCGAACCTCCCCCAGGGTCCTGTGGGGACACGTGCCCAGAGGATTAGTTTTGTTTCATCTTAAACTCACTCGTCGACCTAGTGCTAGGTTGTGCTTTTTTTTTTTTTTTTTTTCCTCCCTGCATAGAGATGGGGTTTGGCTGGCTTGTAAAACTGGAAAAGTAGGGGTTGTAGCTTGGTGCCTGCTGGCCTTGAGGCAAGGCCCCCTCTTTCCTTGACTGTTCATTTCCTCCTTTCCCACTGCTTGGGATGAGAACGTGCAGCTTTGGTGTGGAAATTCCTTTTTTTAAGGAGCTTGGGCTTGGGTTTGCCCCAATCTGGTGATAAAGCCATGACACTTTAGACCTAGCTCAGGCTTGGAGGCCAGCCGGAGGAAGGCCAGTGTGAATCCGGGCCTGTGCAGTGAGAGCTACCATTTCCCCTCCCCAACAGCCCTAATACAGACCCAGATTTCCTATGCAAAACAGTCTCTCCCAGGTTTCATTCTGGTTGGCTACTTTGTTCAATGACTTCACAAAACGTAGCACAAACATTGATTATAGAGGAAGGCATCAGGACTGTTGAGTAACTCCTCCTTTACTTTCCTACTGGCTATGGCATTGGGTGCCCCATGGGCACAACCCAGCTGAAGAATAGAATGGAGGACTCTGGGAGGAGTTAGTTCACTGGACAGCCTACATTCCTTACACAAGTGCCTAAAGAGAGTGATGCCAACACTCCATCTGCCCTGTCCATCGCCTTCATATACTGTCTACTTCATGTTCAGTCACCCTTAGAGGAGGGGAGCTCTCTTTGAACATTGGGCTCTGCATGTTCTCTTCTTGGGTGCATTTTGGGGCTAGGATCAGGGCACTATTCCTGGAGGTTCCAGTCATTCACCAGCATTTGCAAATATCCACAGGGAGCTGGTGGTAGCCACCTACTCTCGGCCACAAGTTTGTGTTCTTTCCTTTTTCTTTTTGCCTCACTCTTTCCAGTTGGGTTTGGAGCTGGGGCTTGAAATGCATTTTTTAGCCCTTTGGCATTGCACATACCACTCACGAAATAAAAGCAAGAGCAGCAGCTTGGGCAATGGCAAGAAAATGACTTCTTGCTTTGACTTTTTTTTTTTTAAATCTTTGAGACTTGAAAAATATCCTTGACTTTGAGGATTATTCTTGTTTGAAAGGTAGTGCATGCAGATTGGGAACTGGTGTTGGCAACAAGCTTTGGCTTTCTTGGATTTGGTTTAGGTAGTGTGACTCACTTAAGCTCTGATGAAGTGTGGGATGACCCCAGCCTCATCTTTTAGACAAGTCTCTTGCTCCCTTTATTCCAATCTTTACCTTGCTTCTCCTATTCTCTCTTTCCCTGGCTTCCTTTTCTTTTCTTTTTTTTTCCTATTTAGTCAGCTTGCTTGCTGATCTACTTTCCTGATGATGAATTCTCTGCATGGCTATAATGATCCCTCTGTTAGCTGACAAGGTCAAGCTTATTAGCTCCTTGGCTACAGAAGACCAAGAATCTGTTCCCCAAGCCCAGTGATGTCCTCTTTGGGCTGGACTGCCCTCAAGCTTACACTAGGTCTGAGCAGCAGGCCTGCCCAAATGGTATGAAATCAGAGGCTTCTGGCAACTTCCACACCTGTCCACTCCTTGGAGTTGATTTCTCACATTGCTTTTCCTAGATATTATCCCATTTTTCTCTACCTGGGGCTTCCCTATTCTAAGGACTTGTTAGGATTGAGCTACTTGGGTATCCAGGGTTGAGGGTCAGGGGATGGACATAGAGGAAAAAGAGAGTGATGGGAAGAGAATGGAGAGAATTTGGATAAAAGGTAGGAAAGGAGAGCACTGCTCATTTATCATTTTTCCAGTCCAGCCTGACCGATTGAGAGTTGAGGTGCTATTACTTGTCTTTGGAGATAAGCCTGGGCTCTTGTTGCTGGGTATTTAGGCTTAGAATAAGGCTGAACAAGAAGGTACATAAAGTCGTAAAACCTCCCTAAAAAACTCCTGGTTCCCACTTAGTAGATAGTTCCTCTTTGGCTAAGCAACAGTGTTCTTGGAGTTTTCCTTTTCTTGTCCAGAATTCTGTAAATGAGACTCAGTACTCAAGATGGGCAGCCAAGGAAACACTTCTTAGCTGGCCCCTGGAATATCTGCAAGGCAGGTAGGGCAGTGTTTTAGACCTTGCATCGTGTGTAACAAAAGATGAAAGTTCTTTCTCCTTCAGGGTAGAAAGTCATCTCAAACTAGCCAAAATGCAATTTTGGAGACTACATTGGAGGAAGCTGTTTTTATTTATATTTATTGGGCCTAGGCCAATCCAGGATGGTAGCTGGGATGCCTTCCTTTTTAAAGTCTGATCATGGCAGGGATGTGCAGGGCACTCTTTTCTATTTGGCCTTCTAAGCAGATTGGGGAGAAGGGATGCTCTGGTTTTCTCTTTCCCCCATTTATTAGGACTTGCCTTCTCCCTGAGCAGGGAGAGGCTAGATTGGTGCTCTCCTCTTACTCTACTCCTACTGACTTAGAACCTCTGGCTGCTGTTTGGGAGCCCAAGAAAGGGAGCGGAGGGAATGGCTCAAATCAAACAAACAAAAATCAGAATAAGATGGGGAAAGCAGATTTCCTACTTTAAAAAGGAAAATAAACTCTCCAAGGATTGTGCAAGTAAAGACAATATATCGAATGCACCATGTCCCCTGGTGTAGTAGCAATAAGGAAAAATGAAATGACTTTCCTATGAACACAGTCCAACCTGAATGGTGTGTGATGTTGGCACTTAGCAGCCATCTGGTGGGCATGTGTGACTACTCTGGGTTCCACTTTAGTTTCTGAACTTTTATTCTTCTCAAGTCCAGCATGGATAGGGAAATGTCCCTGGAGCCCCACAGCTGTGTACTTGTTTGCATTTGTTTCCCTTTGAGACTTGTGTTTGTGTCCTGCTTTGAGCTGTACCTTGTCCAGTCTATTGTAAAATTATCCCAGCAGCTGTAATGTACAGTTCCTTCTAAACCAAGCAACAGCAGCAGCACAATTCTGTGTTTTATAAAAACAACAGTGGCTTCTGTTTCTAAAGTGCGGTCTCTCTCTTTTTTCCTAACAGCAAAGCAAACTGTTGGAATTAATTACATCTCTGATAGATTTTAGGTTAGAAAAATAGATTTTTACAAGAGCAGAACCATTACTTCTAAAGGAGGAAAAGTGGGTAGAACAAATTCCAGAATGTTGAAACTGCATATTGTATGGAATCACACTTCACAGGGCCTCCACTTATTCTTCAAGTACCGTGACCAGCAGTATTTTTGAGGGAAGGGCAGGCACAATTCAAAAATAAGGAGCTTAAAGTTTGGTTGAGGATATGAGTAGTCAAATGGTCCCCCTGGTACATAAGAGAGATGATGAGGGATTGGAACAAGGCTGTCAGGCTTTAGCTATGAAGATAGGAAAGGGCAGATTTGAGAAACACTCAGGAGATAGAATTAATGGGACTGAATGGATGATGGAAGGGGAAGAGAGGAATAGTTTCCAATTGAGCAAGTGAGTGTATTGGGGCATTCTTCTAACCGAGATGGGAAGAGCGGAGACTATAGAAGAAAGCTAATGAATTTTGTGAAGAAAGACCATTAGCCTTGTATAGACTGAGTTTTGAGGTTCCCATGGGGAAATGAGGTTAAGCTTTCCAGTAAACATTTATGTTTTGTTGCTCAGGGAAAACTACAAAACTGCAATTATAGATATGGGATTCATACTTACATAGTTGATAGTTAAAGCCATAGGAATGAACAAGATGGTTTAGAAAAAGAGTAGAGTGAGAAAAACATTGTATACAACTCTAGGAAACACCATTTAAACGATGAAGAGAGGAAGCAGAATATAAGATGATTGTCATATCACTAATTTTGTATTTTTTGGCTGATTTAATGAGGTGGGAGAAAAATCAAGAGAGTGGGATAGAATCCAATTAACAACCTGAACTGCTGCAGTGAGAAGGGTATTTTTTCAACTCAGTTTACCATCCTCTACCCCATCTTCTCTGGGATTTTAGAACTTTATGGTCATTCTCCAGTATTTCTTGAAAATGAGCATTGGAGAAAACTAACTTGAATAAGGCTAAGATTAGGTCTTCCAAGTTGTCCACCAAAACCATCACCACCACTTCCAGCTTCCTCCTGTTCTCGGGAGATACTTGTAAGAGAATAAAATAAACAAACTTAAATTTGTTCCTAACCAGTATCATAGATGATGTTCCAGTGCACTCTATAGCACTTAGCAGCTTGCTGTATTTATTTTCATGACTTGTTTCCCCCAGCGTCTGTGAACTAGGAGCAGAAATTACATTCTATTCACTTTTGTCATTTTAGGGCTATAACATATATGAATAGAATTAAAATGAGCTAGAAATTTGTGGTTTATGAATACAGGGGGGGTGTGGGCAGTGGGGAATCAAAATGATACTGAGTTGAGTGTACAGGATGGAGTCAGCATTTCTGAATCTTCAGGTAAGCAGAACCTTAGCCAGATTATCATAATCTTTTCTCACTCTCACTCAACATGGAGATTCTGTGGTTTTGGTACCTTCAGCTGATGGCACGATTGTCAAGCATGTAAGTTCCTTGGTACTGCTAAAACATTGTTAATCTGAGGGAAGATTACTCACAGAAGATTCTGGCACAGAGCCCATTGAGAAATGTTCAGTGGCACCTAGTGTGTGTAAGTGGGCCTAGCATTCCTCTGGAGGCCAAGTGTTGTGACTTTTCAAATTGCAGAACTAACCTGTGGCTACCACCTGCCAGAGTCCCTTGAGTGCAAGACAGCCCAACCCATGTTCTTTTTCAGCAGCAAGGGTTAGTAAGATTGGTTGAACTTAAAGAGCAGATTGAAAGATGGAAGAGATATTTCCCAGTTGAAATAAGGCTTAAATTTATGACCCTTCATAAAACAGAAGTGAAGTATTTAGTAGAGCAAGTGGGAGGATGATCATTATGACACTTCGCCATAAATTTCAGTTTTAAAAATGATTGATGTTAGCCCTGGCCCATGTGACTTAGTTGATTGGAGCATTGTCCCAAGCACTGAAAGGTCAAAGTCAATGGTTCAATTTCCAGTCAGGGTACATACCCAGATTGCAGGTACGATTTCCTATCGGGGCATATGCAGGAGGCAACCAATCGATGTTGCTCTCTTACATCGATATCTCTCTCTTCCCTCCCTCTGTCTCTCTAAACTCAATAAAATAAAATTTAAAACGTTAAAAAAAAATGATTGATGTTTTAAAAAAGGTTTCAGAATGACTTGGTTGTTACTAAAGTGAAAAATATGGTGTGATCCCAAGGCCTAATTTGTCTGGTTCTGGAGCTCAAGGGTTTGAGTTAAGGCTCCTTGCACCCATAGACATCCGTTTTTCAGTATTGATTGAGCCTTCCCTCTGCCCTATAAATTGGCAACATATTCTTGTAGGGCATTCTTGTCTATAAGTGTCTTGAGGCAGAGTGAGGCTGGGTATTTGTTGGGAATCTCTTGGCTTAGCAGACAGAGGAATCTCATGGCAATTAGGGTTTGGTGGCTAAAGAAAAGGGCTATAGTGCAAAGAGAAGACTATTTTCACGTGATAAGTCTGGGCCATCCTCAGACTGCTGTCTGTACTGCTTGAATGGCAGGTAACATTGAATTGTAGCAAATAGCTCTCCCTATTTGTTTCTAGCTTTGAAGACATTTATTCCTCTGGCTATAGGCCGAGGAAACCTGGCAAGCTTAGAAGGTGCACAGAGCATGACAGAAGCACTCCTGTACAGCAGCTGTGTCGAGGAGGAGGATCTGAAAAAGTGGACTTGTTGGGGATGAGGTACATTTTAGAAGTTCTCCACTTAAGCACCATAACTGCCTTCTCCAGCATAGCATATTTAGGTTTTTTAGGCCAGCATGGCTTACACACTGTCCTCTGGCTCTGGGCTGTATCAGTTTCACTACTATCCCTCTTGACAATGTCTTTTGGGGACAAAGAAATCTTTTTTTTTTTTTTTAATATATATTTCATTGATTCTTCACAGAGAGGAAGGGAGAGGGATAGAGAGTCAGAAACATCGATGAGAGAGAAACATCGATCAGCTGCCTCCCGCACACTCCCCACTGGGGATGTGCCCGCAACCAAGGTACATGCCCTTGACTGGAATCGAACCCGGGACCCTTGAGTCCGCAGGCCGACGCTCTATCCACTGAGCCAACCCGGTCAGGGCGACAAAGAAATCTTGAAGGACCTTGGTAGGGAGCCCTCCATTACTCTTCCCCACCTTCTGAAGGCAAGAAACTTTCCTCTTAAAAGAGTCAGTGAGAGCTCCCAGCCAGCTTAGCTTAAGTGGAGGCTAAGAGTGAGTGACTTTTCTAGGATCACAGCCTCAGCTCTGACTGTCCCTAAAGCCAGTATGTTTTTATTTTTAATATATTTTGTGAAAAATATATTTTTATTGACTTCCAAGAGAGGAAGGATGAAGGAGTGAGATAGAAATATCAATGAGAGAATCATCAATTGCCTGCTTCCTGCGTGCAATTGAGCCTGAACTCCATGACCTCCAGGTTCATATGTCGATGCTCAACCATTGAGCACATTGGCTGGACGAAAGCCAGTATGTTTTATATTGTGTCCTGCTGCAGTAGAAAGTACACCTGACCCTTGAACAACACAGGCTTAAACTGCACAGGTGTTTTTTTTTAATATGCGGATATTTTTTTCAAGTATTTAGCCTTTTGTATTTTTCAGGTTTCCCACCTGCAGAGTCAACCAGTTGCGGATTGAAACAGTATTTTCAATCCCCCATTGGAATTCAATAGATGTTGAGAACTGACTGTATGCATTGTTCTACACCATTTGAGCATTCTTGGATTTTGGTATATGCAGGGGGTCCTGGAACTAATCCCTGAAGGAGGATCATAGTTAAGTCTTGGGAGAGTCAAAAGTTATATGCTGGTTTTCAACTGTGTGGGGATCGGCGCTCCTATCCCCTGTGTTATTCAGGAGTCACCTCTAGCTTGACTTCTGCTGTTTAAAAACTTCTGGTCTAGAAGAGATTTTAAACTCGTGTCACATCAACTAACGAGCCTATATGAGAGGAGAGGATTCCATCCAATTGTTCCCCTTATCCAGCGATGGTGTTTATCTAGGACAGGAAGCCTAGGAATGCAACATTCAGCGGGCAGTGATTTTGTTGCCCCTGATATTTCTGTACTATTTCATACCCCCTTCTGAGAGCAGCCAGTGCCTCAAGGGATAACGGCAGAGTTTTAGCCTACTTCCTGAGCCCTATTGAAGCCCACTCATTGATCCATCCCTCCCACAGCTATTTAGAGAATGCTGCTATGTGCCAGGCACTGGCACTGTTCTAGGCATTGGGGCTGTAACAGTTAACAAGATGCACAAAGACTCTCCTGTATGCCCTTAAGAGCAGACTCATTTGGGAATGAGGTTATCAAAAAATAGTGTGTGCATATGGCCAGGAGTAAGCCTCATACAATTTTGCTTTTGGCAGAATCATTCAAACTTTTTTGCTTTCTCACTTCCTGATATTACAGTTCATGAGCCTTTCATATGGACTCACTATAAAGAGGTGGGGTCCCTGGATAGCAGAAGTAGATGGTAAGGCATCATTGACATTTGCTAAATTGGATCCAATTGAAAGGTCCAAATCCTGTCAGTGTCAGTGTCAGTGTCAACAAAGAAGACAGTGGCCTACTTCCAGGGTTCATCACCATCACCATGTCTACTCTGGACACCGAAGAAGCCTGCATCATTAGAAAACAGTTCCAGAATTAAGACTGAAGGTGTGAGAAACCCTTGCACAACAGTTGGTATTTACTCTGTTTGATGCTCCCATAGACTTGGATTGTGTACGGTCAAGGATTGAAAATAATTTTGAAGATACAGTATTTCATCTGGTGACACTAAATTTGACATTTTTAAATTTGGGAGGGCATTTTCAGTAAAAGGTGTAAGGATGGAAAGGAAGAAATTAGAATTGAAATCAGATGTGGGTTTGAATCCAACTTATAAAGTGTTTACATGTAGGTGCCTCTAATAAGTGCTTTAAAATAGTTAATATAATAGTAACCATTTTAGTAAATGCTAAAAGAGTAACCAAAACAATAACTACTTTTTAAATTCACTAACATTTAGGGAGGGTTTTCTTTGTGCTTTAATTACATTTCCCAACTTCACAATTCTAAGGTACATGTTATTCTCTCCATTTTTTAGATTAGGAAACTGAAGCCCAGAAACTCAAGTGACTGATCCAAAGTCCTACAGTGATTGGGGCATGGGGGGGAAGCACACTTAAGATAGGGTACTTTTTCTTCTTCTTTGTCCTAAGCTTTAATAAAAGAATGAACTTTGATTTTAAAAAGTCTAACCATTACTGATGCTTAAAGACATAGGGAAAAGTCATGAATCATTTATCAGCCTGAATAAAATAGTATCACCATTAACGTCTACATTCTAGTGGGAGAGAGAGTAGTAGTAAAAAGAAATTACAGATTAGGACAGGATTACTGTAATAGAAAAACAGGTGTCCCACCATACCCGAAAAGCCCTCTCAGAAATAAATCTTAAGTTGAGGTATAAAAAGGCGAGAGTGGAAAGAGGATTCCTGGCCAAGGAATCGAAGCAGAGGACCCCAAGCCGGAAAGAAGCGCTTTGCCATTGGGGGAAGTAGAAGCAGACCGTGTAACTAGCATAGTGATGAGGTTTTGCTTCAGAAAGGCGGGGATCCCGTTAAGCCCAGCGTTTGGACCCTGGAAAGGAGTTTGGGTCTTCTCAGTGTGACGAAGCGCTATTAAAAGAGTTTTAAACGTGGAAATTATTCGATCTGATCTTTGTGTAATGTCCTGTTTCTTAATCATCTTTTCTCAAGCTAAATGGTGCATTCCCCCCTGCCCCTCCCCCCCCAAAAAAAAGTGGTCGACAAAGCAACCCCATAGACTTAAGAGTGATCAGTGGCGGTTACTTGATCGCCTGCTGAGGAGGCGCGTGGGGCCGCCCAAACGGCGTGGAGGGAGGGACTCAGCGATGAGGGCGGCCCAGCCCAAGCCTTGCTCTGCTGGGGCCCTCAGCTGCAGGTCCGGGCCCTGCACCTCGGACCAGCCCCATCCAGGTAGGCTCCTCCCCAGAGAAGCTACGCCGCCCTCCGCGACGTCGCCTCAGGCAGAACGGGTGGAGCCAGGAGCGTAGTCCCTGCGACTGTCTCGGGCTGGCACAAACCAGCGGAAG